ACTCCTCCTCGACCTCATCAGACCACTGCTGTACTGTCCTGGTGGTAGCTGGCTGTCTCCTGACAAGAGGCTTATATTTGGGAACAAGCCTGATCAGGTTGTGGTCTGAGTTGCCGAGGGGGGGAGGATGGTAGAGCTGTATGCCTCCTTAACATGGCAGTCCAGTGTCTTATTGTTCCTAGTGCCACCGGTCACATACTGGCTGAAGTTTAAAAGGCTTTTGGAGACTTTTACATGGTTAAAATCTCCATTAACCGTGATAAATGCACTGGGGTGCTGTGTCACATCATTCGCCTGAGATGCTTTGTCACTCGGTGGGATGTAAACAATAACAGCGATGGCGTGGGAGAACTCTTGAGGTAGAAAATAGGACCTCAAACTCACCGCCAGAAGCTCTATGTCCGGAGTACAGATACTGTCCTTTACAGTTACGTGTCCAGGGTTACACTATTTGTTGTTAATGAAGACGGCAAGTCCCCCGCCTCTCTTCTTGCCGCTCCGTGTGTCCCTGTCGGCTCGAACCACCGTGAAGCCGTCCGGCTCCACCAGGCAGTCTGGAATATCCCCGTGTAGCCATGTCTCTGTAAAACACAGCAAGCTGGACTCCCGGTACTCCCGCTGGGTTTTTACGAGTGCTGCAAGTTCGTCCATCTTGTTTGTCAACGACCTGACGTTCCCCATGATTACGGAGGGCAGATAAGGTTTGAATTTCCTCTTTTTGTTCTCCCTGTTCTTTCTCACGAGGGCTCCAGCTCGTGTCCCTCGTCTGTGTCTGCGTATAACAGCTTGTAAATCCCTTGGTGGCGCTGCAATTCGGCCCCGGAGGGAGAGGAGCACTTTTCTTGAGTAGGATATTGTCCTGCCGTTCGAATGTCATGCAAAAAAAAAGATAGAAATCTTACCAATAATATATACATGTTGAGAACAGTGTCCCAACATTTACAGTTAAACTAAGTCCACTAAAAAGTAAGATTAGTGGGGAAAAAAGGAGAAAATTACAAGAAAAAGTAGAAACAAAGGAGAGCTGCTCAAACAGGCTGCCATTCAGGGCGGCGCCAAGTAATACTTGCGTTACTATAGTTACTACCCCAGTTCCTAAACTGTAATGGAAACGCAGCATAAAGTGAGCCTGGCCTAACAAGGCCTAACCATACCGTACTAAGCCGGGCTAGGTCTGCAGTGGAAATGCGCCATAAGACAACATGTTTCCAGTGAAGGAGGCCACATCTCATGTTGATCAGTTCAACTTGAAAAATAAATAGAAGGTGTATTCATTGATTCTGGATGTTTCTCCTTCTTGGGTAAAAAGACACACCACAGTTGTCCCTTGTATGTCCTGACAAGACGAGTCAATGTAAAGTTTGTTGGTTAAGAGGTGCAGACTGGTACAGGATATGAAAAGGAATGTGTTAAGTCTTCGTTGTGTTCACACTCTGCATATTTCTGCCACCGTTGCTGATCTCAGGCCTGAGGATGTAGCAACAAGTTAGCGAGACAGTTTGCTTTGGAACACAAAAATGAATTCATTCCTAAAGGAGAAGGTTGTTTATCTTTCCTGGCCTCTGTCCAACATTTCCCTGCGAATGTTGGAAAGCAGAGATATCATTATACCACAGCTATAGGACAGATACTTTGGGGCTTCACTGAAATGGCTTTTAGATTAGTCTTTTTCAATTGCTTCCAGTTTTTTTCAGTTGCTAACACACACAAATCTCACATAAAGCATAATTATTTAAACTCACACTCAAAGAGCAAAACCTCATTATATCTCCTAAACTCTAAACACATTTTCAGCTCTGCACCCAATTTGCAATTCAACCTGGCACTTTTTGCAAAACGCTGCACATGGTTCTTTAAGTAAGACACAGAAATCTGACATATTCACTGGTTTGCCATTTTCAAAACACTGCCATTAAAAATACTACACACATGAACCAATAAACAAATACTCATGCCAAATGACCATAAACAACAAACTGCTTTATTGATCACTCATCAATCAGGATGTAAGCACTAGAAAAAGGCTCCAAGTAAGAACTTTTTACAACAACAATGGATAGGACAGCAGCAGGAGGGAGAGGAAGAATACCGTTTTTTTCAATTGCTCAAACACATTTTTTGACAACAGGGCTAATTTTGTCAAAACACTTAACACAATTCACAAAACCACACAACCAAAGTGCAAAACACCTAATTTTTCTTTCAAAATGAAGCACTGTACCCAAAAATGACAAAAAACACTTGTCACACACTTCATTCATAGTACAAGACACTTTGTCCAGCCAAATACACACTGTGGTGCTTTATCTAAAGCACACTTACTTTTATGGCATTCTGTATGTAGAGAACTCTGCATATAAAGATTGTTCAAGTCTACAAAAATATGTTCAGAAACACAAATATACAGTTGTTATACTTTAGTTTTTCTCCAAAATAAATTGGAGCAACTTTCCTGCACAACAAATAGTTAGAGTTGTGTAAACACAAATGATGCCTTTGTCAAATACAATAAAGTGAAAGGAAAACTTTGAGGAAAAATAAATATATATTTTTCTTTTTACAAGAAACAGAGTAGAGAAAAAATACTTAGGCAGCATTTGTCCACCTCACTGGGTCTGACCACAGACCCTCATCATCCTGCAGAAGAAGCATCACCTGCAGCCTGACGGTCACACAGCTGCAACCGTTATGCTGCAAATAACTCTTCATCCTCCCTCTCGCTCATCCTCCCTCTTCCTCTTCCTCCTGCTGCTGTCCATATATCCATTGTTGTTTTTATACATTTCTGTAAAGAAACTGTAATATATAACACTTACAAGTAACTTTCAAGTCCTCTGCTTCTTAGCATTTACTATAAATGATGAAAATCCATTTAAATATACTCACTTTATTACTTTATATCTTATTGTTTCGTTCAGGTGGGAACATGTGTTGCAGCAGATGCAAACCCTGCAGCTACGATCACGTGGAAAAAGAACGGAAAGCCCTTGGTAGCCGATGGGAAATGTAAGTCACACAAAACAAGATGCCAAACGTAAAATCACAATATTTAGTTTTTACCCATAAAGACAATCGTTTTACCAGTAGATAACAGACACATCTTCCTTACTTGTCACTGAAGGATGCAATAATAAACATTTGAGTGTGAGCAATTTTGAGGTCAGACAGTCAGGGGGGCAGTTTGATCCCACCCTCTGCTGTCACCATGTTGAAAATCATGGGCAATACTTAACTCCTGTAGGCATGTCTTCAGAATTCAGTGTATGTACGTCACTATATATATTTAGGAGCAGCCAACCTGACGCTAAATGCTAAACATTTATGTGTGTGTGTGTGTGTGTGTGTGTGTGTGTGTGTGTGTGTGTGTGTGTGTGTGTGTGTGTGTGTGTGTGGGTGCGTGCGTGCGTGCGTGCGTGTGTGTGTGTGTAGCCGTTCTGATCACTCCCAGCATGAAGCTGGATCCAGTTTCAGGCCTCTCCACCACCTCCTCCACCCTCCAGTATGCAGCTTCCAAAGAGGACAATGTCTCTGTCTTCTCTTGCATGTCCACACACCAGCTGACCAATCAGGAGGCTGAGCTGGAACCCTTTCCCATTCACTGTAAGTACAATACAGCACCGCATGTGCCACATTTGAGAAATGTAGTTAAACGCTTTGTGTTAAATGAATGACATGATGAATTGAATGAAATCTGCTCCATGGAGTGTCTGATAGGCCATGTCCAGCACTAATTTTAGAAGGATATGACCAGTGTGAGATATTAGGTGCAGTAACAGTTTGCCACTGCCTGGAACAAAAGGGCCTTTTGGTATACTCATGATATTTATTTTAGATTTGATCAAATATATGTATAATGAAAGGGTAAATAAAGCTCTGAAACTCTTCTTATTCACCTCAGAGACCATCATCCAGAGTGACAGTAAAATAATTTAGAACAAAGAACTCCTACAATCTTTTCTGACATCAACTCCAGAATCAACTTTTTGTATTCACCAACAAAACATATAGAGGACACTTTGCCTGATTCTATCTCATATACCTCAGATGTTACAAGCACACTGTGTTGGGTGTGTAATACTTTTCCAGACGTGATAGAGCTCCAGTGCTAGCTTGGATAGCTGCAAATAAATGTGCAGGATTGAAGAACTTGTTGTGTGAGGCAGTTGATCACCAAACTTTGAAACTGTCTCGTCTCTGGCTGTGCAGAGCAGATGGAGTCTTGTTGAGTAAATCAGAGCCCTTGGATCTTGGAAGGCCTTGGCAGGAGCAAGTTGGTGTAAGGGTCTGAGAAGAGGGGTAGTCCGAGGCATCTTCATCTGTGGTGCTACACTAAATTTTTCTAAATTTATTTTGAGTTTTGGTAAATAAAGCCCTTTTTGACCAGAACACTGACTCTGTGTTTGACCACCAGTTTTCTCTTGGTCGCCTGGTCCTTTTACTGTGGGTTACATTCTACTTTGAGAGCTAGTAAGGCGACTGATTTCTAGTTTATTTCTGTGTAGGGTGGTCTACACACTTTGTTGATCAAAGGCTGATGCGGGCACCTTTAGAAATGTGATCAATATGTTTTTGTCTGTTGCATTTATCTGGATTGTTGAGTTGATCCAGTTTGAGGGAAATTTTCTTTCTCAATGTCAAGCATGCATCTTTTATTTTCTCTACATTCACTTTTTCCCGTCCTCACCCTCTGAACCTCTTAGATCCATCAGAGAAGGTTAGCCTCCAAGTTCTGTCCAAGACGCCAGTCGTAGAAGGAGATAACTTCACGTTGAAGTGTCACGCTGATGGAAACCCCCCCCCCAGCTCCTTCTTCTTCCACATGAAGGTCAGTCATGCTAAAACCTGTCCCCAGGACACTCTGGACTTACTGCCACTCATTACCACTGAACCTACAGTATATTTGAGTTCTACTCCTTTGTAATGATCACAAACTTAGAAAAAGATACTATTGAAAATGAAAACTTTAATAAAACTGTTCGAATGCAAATGTAATGATTGCACTTTCCTAATTATGAGTTATTGCTTTGGATGTAAAAGTCCCCCTCCTTCCTGTCTTCTTTCTTTCTGATATTCTTCCACCACAGCAGAATCTAACGTTGTCCTTTACCCCCTCCGGCTCTTCTCTCTCCACCAGGGCCAGAAAGCGCTGGTGGAAAATTCGGACACCTACACGCTGACGTCCATTAGCAGAGAGGCTGGGGGGGAATACAAATGCTCCCTGGCTGACAACGAGAAAATGGAGTCCTCCCAAACCATTGTTGTTAGCTGTGAGTACTATGAGCTTCAGCATGCTGCACCACAAAGCAGACAACTCCTCCAACCCCCCCACCCCCAGCTCTTTCCTCCTTGAATGCACTTTCTTAACTTCCTATACATGATCAGGCAATTTTATTCACTGTTAATAAAGTCATGGGAGCAGAGTAATTATAATCTAATTTATACCCTGAGAGTGCAACTTGGCAGGAAGGCAGATGGGTGAGGGAGCAGAACTCATTAGAACATTCTGACAGAGAGTGAGTCAAATGTGAGGAGGATCTAAAACAAAGAAGTGTTTTATAGCCCCCCCAACTTTTCAGATCACTTTGTGACGAGGAGAAAACAGTCTTCTTTTTTTGCATCTCTTTAAGTGATTATTATTATTATTTCATGATCATACTGTAGTTAAACACTTATTGGATATACACTAAATTCACATGACTGATGTCAATAGTATATTTCAAACATTTGGTAAAAAAGCGTCACTGTAGCAACGTTTCTCACACTGATGGAGCTCTGCCACTCAAGGAAGTTATATCCAACTTTGTAGGACACAATACTTGTTAGTGGTACAATTCTTTGTTGATCTGGGTGTTCATATGACATTTCTCTTTAGAAGGTTGACATAAAAATGAAATGTCAGAAGTAAAATGGTGTCTGTAAGTGGACCTGGTGATAAGAGGCAGCATAACTCAACAGACATGTCCTCCTCCTGTCCTCTCAGACCTGGACCTGAGTCTGACCCCCTCTGGGACCGTGTGGAAGGCAATAGGAGACAACTTTACTGTGAAGGTGGAGCAGAGCTCCTCGGGTGTGGCTCAAGTGTCGTGGACTAAGGTAATGCTGCTGGGGTTTGGTTAATGATGAATGGGGTATTGCATTGTGGTTACTATATTTCTATTGAAATAACAACTTATATATAATATACAGTTGAAGACACTGTGACCTTTACATCAGAGAAACATTAGGGTTGCTTTAGAAAGCCCCTATTGACACAGAGACTCTGTTTTCAGAATGGACAGGAAGTGAGGCAGCCGGAGTTCAGCTGGCTGACGTACGCTGATGCAGGAGTGTATGTGTGTGAGCTCTCCATGCCCGGCCTCACGCGGCGCTGCAGCGTTGAGCTGATGGTAGAAGGTGAGTTTTGGTGTCTGTGTCACACTCCACACCTGAGTGGAACATTTAAATACATATACATGTATATACTCTTATGTTAAGTCACACAATCCAATTTTCTTAAGAGAAAGAAATCTGCCCGGATGGGAATTCAGTTATTTGGTATTATTAGAATACTGTATCCCTACTCTGCAGTGCATCTTCCTCTCAGGACTGAGGTACTTTCAATAATTGAAACCCAGCTTCTAAATCATTTTTCTGGAAAGTATTGGAAGTCATTAAATTGTTCCAACAAGTGTAAATCCCGTCACCCATCTAAACTTTGTTGTTAACAGGAAAGCCAGAAATCACGGGCCTGAACAAATACCGCCCTGATGGCGCCAGCTACAAAGTTCTGACCTGCGAGGCAACGGGAGTTCCAGAACCCAGCTTCCACTGGAGCGTCAACACTACGAGCGTAAGTGTGTGTGTGAATCAGGGTTCGAGTTATGTGGGAGCCAATGGGAGCTGAGCTCCCATAAGGAGGGGTCTGAGCTCCTATGAAAGCAGTGAAATCATACATCTGTGGGGGTCGCTAATACATTACCAACAACCATTATTTTAATCACAAATAATGCATGTGTCAATGTAATGAGTTATTTACATTAACGAGGTAAATAGGCAAAAAGAAAAACATGTTTTCCAAAAGAACTACGCATCATATTCTCTCTTGAATGACAATATGCCTGTACTTCACCTCCAAGGTGCGCAATAAATTATTACGCAATCTATGCCTGTTAGCGTACTGCGCCGAGATGATGTGTTATGTGGTGTGCGTAGTTGAACCTGTGTGTGTGCGTGCGTGCGTGCGTGTTTGCGTTACTTTTAAAGACCCCCATAAAGCTCTGATTATAACTCGAACCCTGGTGTGAATTAACCAATATCACAAATTACCCATTTGTCCCAGGGTCTTCACAGTGTGTAGAGCAAATGACAACAATGTGAATGATTCAGATTTGATTTATATTTCAAGATTCAAAGGTTCATTGTCATAACATATACACGACGGTGTTAAAATGTAATGTATGATGAACTTAGAACACATGGTCCTCAACAGTGCAATTACAAGACATCATCATGTGGGATGAAACTGTCCCTGAGTCTGGTGGTTTTAGTCCTGATGCTGCAGTACCGCCTGCCAGACAGAACAGTTTGTGGCTGGGGTGATGGGGGTCTTTTATAATTTATTTCTTCCTGAGCCGCTGGCAGTAGAGTTCCTCCATGGATGGCAGCTCTGTCCTGGTGATGTTCTGTGCAGTTTTCACGACCCTCTGTAGATGTATATGGAAAGATAGGGCACCTCTCTAGCTACTAGTACACTCCATGTTTTTTGGTCGATCGGGATTCAAACCTGTCCCAGTCGGTCCCAGGGGCTAGTTCCTACAAACTGAGCCACTGAGCCACTGGGGAGAAAAAAAGTACCAATTTCTGATTGGCTGGGCGAGTCATATGGGATTAGTTTTGTTTCATAAAGATAAAGCAACACTTTCTCAGAATAAAGCAAAACTAAAAGTTTAAGAGAAAAAAAAACTGAGTCAAGCTAAATT